GATCACGATTTGGCTGAGGGTGCCTGAGGCGATTCTCCAACAATGATAAAATCGACTAATCTCCGATTTGGCCTAAAATTTTCTCGAGGGCATTTTTCGTAATTTGTCATGCAATTTTTTTCGAAAGGCCAATTTACCTTGATTTTGGGGCTACGGATCGCGAATTTGTCCTGAGACTATTCTGCATCGATGATTAAGTCTAATAAGCACCAATTCGGACAGATTTTTTCCGCGTACAGTTTTGGCAGATTCCAAAGGGTGTACTATCATAAATTGCACGAGATTTTATCGAAATGCCATTTTCGTTGGATTTTAATGGCTACAGATCACGTATTCGACTGAGGGGGCTTTGGGCTATTCTCCATCGATGATAAAGTTTATTAATCGCCGATTTTGGTGAAATTTTTCCCGTGGGCATTTTTGTTATTTGTCGTGCAATTTTTTCGAAAAGCCAAATTACCTTGATTTTGGGGGATACGTATCGCGTGTTCGACCTGAGAGTATTTTTCATCGATGATTAATTCTAATAATCACCAATTTTGACAGATTTTTTTGGGTCCAATTCTAGCAGATTCCAACGAGGTAGCATAAAAAATTTCGGACGATTTTATCGAAATGCTATTTTTGGTTAATTTTAGAGGCTACAGATCACGAATTCGGCTGAGCGGGCTTGGTGCTATTCATTATTGATGATAAAGTCTATTAATAGCCGATTTGGGAGAAATTTATCCCGGGGCATTTTCGTAATTTTTTGTACAATTTTTTTGAAAGGGCAATTTACCTTGATTTGGGGGCTGGAGATCGCGGATTCGGCCTGAGACTATTCTTCATTAATAATTAAGTCTAATAAACACCAATTTGGATGGATTTTTTCCGGGTCCATTTTTGGTAGATTCCAAAGTGGAACCATCACAGTTTTCGGGCGATTTTATCGAAATGCTATTTTCATTGGATTTTAAAGGCTACAGATCACAGATTCGGCTTAGGGGCCTGTGGTTAGGGCTGGCAGACGGTTTTCCGGTTAGCAGTTAACCGGACGGTTTCAACCGAACCAACCGATTTTCGCTAACCGAAAAACCGAACCTGAAGAGCACGGTCGGTTGACGGTAGAGCAAATCAGGGGGCCGGTTAGCCGACTAACCGGGGTCGGAAACCGGCTGTTAACCGGCTAATCGACCCCCTGCCCTTTCCTTAAACGATGCCGCATCCAAAGCCATCTTTCCCCCTAGAGACCCGACCCTATTCTCTTCCAACTAATCCCAAATCCCAAATCAACCAACCCCTAATCCCAAATCCATTCCCCATTTCCCCTTCCCCCTAGAGATCCGACCCTCTTCTCTTCCAACTCTCTTCTCCTCTTCTCGATCGCAGTCGCAGCCTCGACCTCCCGACGGTCGCGACGGCAGGCAGCGGCGTAGAACAGAGGAACAGGCACGCCTCGTCGGCGCCTCCCTCCATCGCTTGTTGCCGGCGCTCGCCCTGTCGCCGTTCACGAATCGCAGCTCTTCCCCTCCACCATCGTCGCCGCCTCCACCTCGCCGCCCCGCCGACTCCACCTCGACGCCCCGCCGCAGCAGCCAGGCAGCAGCAGCGCCTCCACCTCGCCCAGCACTCCAGGTCTCCAGCAGCTCGTCGCCCCGTCGCCAACACCAGCAGAATCGAGAGAGAGAATCGAGGGAGGAGGCGATTTCGGGATCTCGAGAGAATCGAGAGAGAATCAAGGGAGTTGGTTTTTCGATTTTCCTTCCAGAGGAAGAAGAGAATCGAGAGAGAGAGAGAGAGTAGGGAGAGAGATAGTCTGGGAAGAAGAATCGAGAAAACGGAGGGGAAGAAGAATCTAGAAACGGAGGGGTTAGGTTAGGAGTGAGTGGTGCATATTTTTTGTTGCTTTTAATTTTTTTTTATATAGAAAAGGTAGTTTCCGGTTAGCCGGCTAACCGAGTCGAAACCGGAAACCGGTCGGTCGGTTTGCGGCTAACCGAGGCTCACGGACGGTCGGTTGGCGGCAGCTCTGGTCAAGGTCTCGGTTTGACCGATAACCGACAATTCGGTTTTCGGTTATACCGAAACCGACCGAGTGACAGCCCTACCTGTGGTTATTCTCCACCGACGATAAAGTCTATTAATCACCAATTTGGGCAAAAAATTTTCCGGGGGTATTTTTTTAATTTGTCTTCAATTTTGTCGAATGTGCATTTTACTCTGATTTTGGGGGCTACTGATCACGGATTCGGCCTGAGACTATTCTTCATCGATGGTTAAGTCTAATAAGCACCATTTCGGACGGATTTTTTCCGAGTCCATTTTTGGCAGATTCCAAAGGGTACCATCACAGTTTTCGAGCGATTTTATCGAAATGTTATTTTCGTTGGATTTAGAGGCTACAGATCACAGATTCAACTGAGGGGGCCTGGGGTATTCTCCACAGATGATAAAGTCTATTAATCTCCGATTTGGCCGAAGTTTTTTCCGGGGGTATTTTTTCAATTTGTCTTCTATTTTTTTCGAATGAGCAATTTACCTTGATTTTGGGGGCTACGGATCACGGATTCTGCCTGAGACTATTCTTCATCGATGGTTAAGTCTAATAAGCACCATTTTGGACGGATTTTTTCCGAGTCCATTTTTTGCATATTCCAAAGGGTACCATCACAGATTTCGGGCAAATTTATCGAAATGCTATTTATGTTGGATTTAGAGGCTACAGATCACAGATTCAACTGAGAGTGCCTGGGACTATTCTCCAGAGAAGATAAAGTCTATTATTCGCCGATTTGGGCTAAATTTTTTCCTGTGGCATTTTCGTAATTTGTCGTGCAATTTTTTCGAAAGGCCAATTTAACTTGATTTTGGGAGCTACGGATCGCGAATTCGGCCAGAGACTATTCTTCATCGATGATCAAGTCTATTAAGCACCAATTTTGACGGATTTTTTCAGGGTCCATTTTTGGCAGATTCTAAAGGGGTACCATCACAGATTTCGGGCGATTTTATCTAAATGATATTTTCGTTGGATTTTAGAGGCTACAGATCATGGATTCGGCTTAGGGGGTCTGTGGCTAGTCTCCAACGATGATAAAGTTTATTAATCGGTGATTTGGCCGAAGTTTTTCCCGGGGGCATTTTCGTAATTGGTCAGGTGATTTTTTTTAAAGGCCATTTTACCTTGATTTTGTGGTCTACGGACCGTAGGTTAGGCCTGAGACTATTTTTCATTATTGATTAAGTGTAATAAGCACCAATTTGGATGGATTTTTTCTAGCTAGTTCCATTTTTGGCAGATTCCAAAGGGGTACTACCATCACAGATTTCAGGCGATTTTATCGAAATGCTATTTTCGTTGGATTTTAGAGGCTACAGATCATAGATTCTATTGAGGGGGTCTGGGGCTATTCTCCACCGAAGATAAAGTCTATTACTCCCGATTTGGGCGAAATTTTCCCTGGGTCATTTTTGATAATTTGTCGTGTGATTTTTTCAAAATACCATTTTACCTTGATTTTGGGGGCTATATATAGCGAATTCGGCCCGATACTATTCTTCATCAATGTTAAGTCTAATAAGCATAAATTTGGACGGATTTTTTTCGAGTCCATTTTTGGCAGATTCCAAAGGGTACCATCAAAGATTTCGATTTTATCGAATTTTTTGGGATTTTAGATGCTACAGATCACAGATTCGGCTTGAGGAGGCCTAGAGCTATTCTCCACTAATAATGTAGTCTATAAATTGCCGGTTTGGTGAATTTTTTCGGGGAACATTTTCGTATTTCTTTCTACGATTTTTCCGAAAAGCCATTTTACTTGGATTTTGAAATCTACGGATCACAAGTGATGTGTGAGGCTATTCTTCACCGAATTAAGTCTATTAATCACCGATTTGGGTGGATTTTTTCTAGCTCTATTTTTTGCAGATTCCAAAGATGTACCAGCACAGATTTCCGGCGGTTTTTTCTAAATGCTATTTTCTTTGGATTTTAGAGGCTACATATCACGGATTCGCCCTGAGGCAGCTTTGAGGTATTCTCCACCAATTATGAAGTCTATTAATCGCCGATTTGGATGATTTTTTGGGGCACCCATTTTACTTGGATTTTGAAGACTACTGCATAGGATAAAGCTTCAGAAAGACTTATATGTGACCCCAACAACTGAATAATGGAACCTTGAAGAATTAGGTGATTGGCAATCTAGCTAGGGTTTCATGGCCATATACTTGATTCATCGAATGGTAAATGAAATCATAGCTGGTTGCGCTGCTCAAGACCATATTCTGCAGGAGGCTTGGGGTTAAAAAAACTAAAGACACTACAATTGAACACTACGATTTAAGGGTTCTCATATCAAGTCGTTGGTAATTTGACAATCTTCAGGTGGCTGCTTTGAAGACCTTAATATATAATTTGGTCTAGCACTATTGAAGGATGGACCAAATGTTCAGTTCAATATAATTCAAGTCGCGGACTAGCTAGGTTCAACAAGTCTGTCTACAGCGGTTAACAAATTAAGGCAGTCCATATGACTCTTAACAAGTAATAACAGAACATAAAGGCATTCAAACTAGCTAGTTGGATCATCCATCTGTCTCTTAGTAGCTTGTGTTTTCCATGAACACTAAATTTAGTATGAATATGTAGGATCAAACAAGAGCAACAAGTTTCATTGTCACCTCACGCTTGAAATCACAACCAACTTCATTCAAATGCAACTCATCAATCCTAGCTTCTGTAATTGGAAAACTCCTCTCAAGAACCAATTTATTCAACAAAGCCAGATTTGTATATATATATGGCCGACCATCCAAATGATCCCAAATTGATCATTTCCAAATTTATGGATACATTGATGTACGTACTTCATCATCAAGTACTCTTTAAGAGGAACACAACAGGTTTCCATTCCTTCACCCCGCCATGGATCTTTTCCCCCCCGAGGGCCAAAAGGGGACATGGCAAGGAAACGAAACCCTAGATTTTGAACTTGAGCTTTCAGCTCATATTTATACATATGAATACTTTGTTCCACACACATAGGTCATAATCATCAACTTAGAAGGAGGCAATAAGGGTTATACTAGCTTCAATTTACCGAGCCATCCAGCTAGAGAGTCATCTCATTAACTAGCGGTTGTTCCTCCTCCTGTTCTCTTCTTGCTCCAGCATCTCATCCAGCAACCTGTCGTCCAAGTACTCGAACTCCACCACCTGAGGCGAAGAAGATGACGAGCCTCGTCGGTTCGAAGAAGAAGAAGAGGACGACCCAGCTGCGGCCGAGCCTGAAGCTGCCGCGGATGGGCCCCGGCCCATTGGGTACTCATGGGGGAAATTAAGGACAGCGATGTGTCCTCTCATAGCGTAGGCAGCTCGGTCGTAAGCCCTGGCCGCCTCCTCCGCGGTGTCGAACGTCCCCAGCCATATCCTCTGCCCGTTCCTGGTCGAGTCGCGTATCTCCGCCGCGAATTTGCCCCAAGGACGGCGGCGCACCCCGCGGTACTTCACATCGTTTTCGGATGATTGGTTTCCAGGCTCCATAGGAAAGTAAGTAAAGTTGGGGTGATGGTGGTGGGTGGTGCATGGCAAAGTGGAAGCTAGCTTTGCGTATTTATATGTGCGGGGAAAGAGGTATTCTTTTTTGTATTAAAATAAGTGGTGGCCACGTAACTTTTTAAGTTGTGGGTTTGGCTGTATCTGGTGGCCCACGTGGAGGATCGGGTGGCTTGGCGTTATTCACACGTGTGTGTTGAATCGTTTCTGTAGGCTTTGGGTTGAGTCCATTGTATCTGGATGGTCAAGCCGATGGCTTTGATCGATCAATAGAAGAAGAGGAAGCCGAGTTGGGCCGGTCCTCCCTGCCAGGACCTTTTTCCTCCCCTTCAATATTCTGCATGTCCCTTCCCTTTTCTTCTTCTTTTGTTTAATTTATTTTGTGAAAAGGGGAAATCTAATGGAGGTGGATTGTTAATACTGTTATGCATATCAATTACTTTGTCGTTGTCTCATGGATCATGGATGATGTCAAGCAAATAGTTTCTTGGTATCATCACTAGCTGGCCACGTTTAAGATGTAATCAGCCACCCATTGTTATGGGATTCGATTGGTTGCTAAAATGATGAGCAATTTCTTAATTTAGTGTAGATTATAGCTCAGTGTAATATGGAACTTGGAACATATATAGCGTAGATATGGGTTTCAACTGTCACTGATAGGAGTATGGAAACAAAATAACTGTCGTTGTTGGGGTAGGTGAATTGTCCAACAAACGGGGGGAAAGAAAAATAAAATACCGGGAAAACTTTTGTTATGAAAACCATTAGGTTATTGCGGTTAAAGCTTTGTTTTGTTTCCTTCATCATTTAGTAACCAAAATTTCATTTTACAAACGAACAAACAAAATTTTTGGAATGAGAGGATGACATAATTTTCAGTGTTATGGGATTCAAAATTGTTGGAGTAATATTTCTTATAAGAGTCGTAGAAGTTTGGTTTGTTTACGTGAGCTTCTTTGGAGGAGAAGTGTTTGGAACGACAAGGCAGTTTTGGCAAGAGATATTGATACATCCAGTTCATCATCATTGTGTTCGTCGGGCATGGTTTTCTTCGACATCGGCATGAAGTTTGGGATTAGTAGCAGCTATCACACTGATAGTTATAGATTTTTTTTTTCTTGTGTTAGTTTTTGTTTTAGTTTTCAAATTGTTGGTAAGTAATTACCATCAATTTGGGGAGGGTATTCTAGTATGTGTAGTACGAGTAGTATTATATTATACTACGAGTACTATTATGTAATTGTGAGAGTTATATTTTTTATCAGAGTCGTAGAAGTTAGGTAATTTCCGTATTAGTGTCAGGATTATTATGAAGTCAGTCTTTGTACTCTATATAAACCCTATGTGGTTTCAGTAATAATACACAACAGTTTCCATCGTATTCAAAATCAATCTAGTAAACGTCCGATAAATGAAAGAAGGTTTTTTTTCCAACTACACATAATGGCAGAATGACGTTTATGGCAGGGAAGCTGTAGTCTCTCAACTCTCAAAATCACGTAAAAAATATGGAGTCGTTTGAATGGATCAAATGAAAAATGAAAAATGAGACAATTTGACCAATTGTCTCAATTTTACAAAAGGAGTCATTTAAAACGAGTCATTTAAAATTGTCTGCCCACACCCAATTGTAATTGCCTCGAAACGAGTCCGTTTGAAATTCCTCAGACAGAATTGCTTCATCTTCACTTTATACTTCCAAATAGATCAATTTGGTCAGATTGTCTGAAAATGAAACAATTTGATAAATTAATCCGTTAGAATTCTTCATCCAAACAACCATCTAAACTTTGCAATAAATTTGGGAAATACAAGTTGGTGGTAAAGATTTAGTCTTCTCTCTAGTTAAAATTCTCTGAGCGTAGATTTAGATTTTTACCCACTCGATCTGATTTCTGGCTACACCTTTGCAGCATTTTTTTTATACAAAATGGAAGGGCACAAATTTTATCTGTTTAATATTACCTCATCCTTCCAATCGTCATTATATTTCGTCAGAGCATGCAACAGATTGTATTACTCTTACCAAGTGGCAGGAAATTCCTATGAATTCGAGGAGGAAATTCTTCAAACACTTACAATGGAGTTACATAGAGGATAGATGCGTGGGTGCTTATTATATCATCGCCGTCGTCACTCGCCACTCACCGGTACACGCCATGGAACCACTTGTTCATATCCGTACTTGCATGCATGCATGTTCCGGCCGGACGGAATCTCCAGTCCTTCCTTGGCGCTTCCTTTTACTGTGTTGCTGGAGTCATTGCTGACATTTGTTCATTTAGATGTAATCGCTGATCTTTCTTTTTCATGTAAACGTCTTACAACCATTATAAAGCCGAAAATTTTATTGCACAGCTGGAAAATGAATTATCAACATTGAGAAACCCAGTATTATTGAGAATAACAATAGTTCAACACGTAAGGTAAGGTGACCAAATTGTTATGATCCATATGCGTTTGTGCCTAGTAAGTACTAGGCGGTTAGTAGGACAGGGGCGTTTCGTCTGTTCTTGGAAGGAGGGTGCACTCCAAATCTCTGCAAAATAAGGGTCCGTGGGCGGTTGCCCGGGACACCCTCCAATGCTTAAATTAGATAGAGAAGTGTGTAGTGATGTGTTTGTTCTAGAGAGAGAGAGAGTAGTTAAATTTACCATCAATGCTCTCATGGTGCATTTATACCTGGTGTGGTGGTGGTTGAGTCATTTAATGTCACGTCAGGCGTCCCTGACAGATCTTCTCCCTAGGTGGACCGCCTGCGGCGAGCAATAAATGCTCAGTCTTACCCAGACCGAGGTACGTATCTCAACGGATCTTTGCTTTCTGTCATGGTCAGTCGCTTTATGTCAGGCGGTTCTGGAGACTCTTTGGGTTTGGAGTCAGCCCGAGACCGCCTGTCACCCTGGTCTCCCTGGCTGGGCCGGATACTCCATTGGGCCCAACTAGCTGGTACTTTCCTCCTGGGCCGAGGCCCATGACCGCTCAACTACGTGGCCCAACAATATGGATATTGGACGGACATAAATGGACTCGTATGCATTTTTATTAATTTTTGGGTTTGGGTTTCTTGAAGGTCACGAGTCTGAAAATATTTAGGAACTTATGAGAATCCACTCTATTATCATGAACCAACTGGTCCCTATAACTAGTATTCTAGAGAGAATATTATTTATAAATCATATATATCATCCTCGTCATTATCTTGTACTTAAATTAAAAGTCAGTCTTGAGAACCGTGGAGATTCGAACACATAATTACTTGAGCAAATAAGATCTAATACTATATCACAAAACAACAGGTCACAATAACTCGAGTTGTGGGAGAATTATGAATCACATCACTCTTACATCTATTACAATAAAATATAATCAATCTAACTTAGAATTAGGATATATCACTCGTTTGGTCCCGAAATCCACTTCCATATAATTTTTTTTTCTCGTTGAATCAGTTTTTCTCTTATTAATGTGAAAAAGGAAACCAATACATCGAAGACAAAGCCCCGAGACTCTATGTCAGAACATACTGCAACTACACTCTACTTTACAATTATCTATAGCAGCTACCAACAAAACTTTCAAAACAGAAATTCAAAATACCACAGTCTTTAAAGATACCCCAAACGTGTTACGTCTTCTTGCAGCATGGCATTTCGAGCAACCAAGTATTGCAAATCTGCTTGCAGTAGGGCAGCAACTTTCTCAAGATCCGGCCTTGATCCACCATGAACAACTTTGCAGCACTCTCTCCATATAGAAGTTAGCACCATACACCACACAACCCCATTCCAACTCGCATTTGCTGAGGGCCGAACCATAGAGCTTGTTGTAGCTAGCATTGTATCCCAATCCACATCATCAAACAACCTGCAATTTAAACTCGAGACAAGGCTGCGACAAAAAGAACAGTGTAGGAAAAGATGTTCTCTAGACTCCATTGGAAATGTACACAATGGACAAGAAGCAATCGTCAACTTCCGCCAGCTCATTAGCTTATCCTTCGTCACAATAACATTCTTCACGATACGCCATGCAATGAAACTATAACGAGGGGGACAGAACTTACTCCATACGAGCTTAAACCAAGGCACCTCAGATTGCTTTGCACGCAAAGACTCCCAAACCTATCGAACAGAATATACAGCGACTCGCTCCTACTGTCACTCTAGAAAATGGCCAAGTGTAACCACCTCCTAAAGCGTAGTATAGCGGGTTTGGGTGTTAATGTCAACTCGGGTCCTAGATGTGATGACTACTCCGTGAGTTCTTATTATTTAGCAGTGAAACTTTAGTGAAGGTCCAAACAAGCAAACAAGCAAAGCAAGTAAAAAGGTTGTTTTCAAGTTGATAGAGGTCACCCGGATATGGTTCCCCCTAGACTGCAGTTAAGCCGGATTGTAATTTACCAAGTTCAGGTTCAATGATAATTATACTGCGGGAGGTTCTTAAACAGTCTGAATTCTCGACTAAAGGTCACCAGACCCTCTCAATCTGAGTCTCCAGCGGGCGACTAACCTCCACTGGAGTAAACAGATTGAGGCCCTAACGAACCAAACCTCCACTACCGAAGTAAATTTGGTACAGAATAGTGAATTGACTTCTCGACTAAAGTCGCCAATTCACTACCTTCAATCAAGTGTGCTCTATCAACCTAGGAAGATATTCTCTTTCTAGGTTAAAGCAGAAACAACAGGAATTTGATCAGGATTCATGTCATTCAACAAATCAAACCTCAATTGAACATAATCATATCAATGAATCTATCCTTGGGTCCATACAATAAGACCTAACATACAAATCTAGGGTTCTTCATACCCAGGTGAATAAGAAAGTTACTCCATAGAGAGAGATGAGAAATCTAGCTCACATGCGGAAACCATACTGTGAATGATGGGAATCTGCTTCTGGCACTCAATCAGGTCTTCTCCAAGCTCAAGCCGCGCTCCAATGGTGATGGAGATCGATCAAGGATACTTGCAGAGTCAGGTTCGTCACTTTCTCTCTCTAGGTATCGCTTTTTCTAT